GAAGCATTTTCAAGATTCTTCCATAAATTTTCAATCCATGGATGTACCACCTCTTCTATTCCAATTCCGTCATCTGCATAGCCAGGGTTATAAAATTGCTGTGCGCCAAGGTTATCAATAATAGTTTTAAAAGTTTTGGAGGCATTGCAAAAGTTGTTATAGTTAGTATCTCCCAATCCTAGAATAGCATAACGTAGGTTAGAGTACTCTAGTGGCTCAGAAGTAGTAAGTTCATTTGATTCTAGTGACTTTTTTAAAGAACGAACTTTTCTATTTAATTTTCTAAATGCGCCAGCATACTTTGTTGGTGGATCACCTTCACCGAAAGTTGAAATGATAAAAATGGCTAATTGATGACCGACTTCTTTGCTCTATAATTAATATATAATATAAAATTTGGATGCAATTCAATGAAATCAAGATCATACAAGCTTAGTCTGATTAATGCATAAATAACTAAAAAGTAGCTTACGTTTAGAAATTCGTTTAGATCCTGAAGATTTACGTTATAGTTTCTATCTTTTGCTTCCCTGGAGATCTCGGTAGCAATGCCCTGCGAGTTTCCACTTTCAGTGGCATAATAAATATATAGGTTATGAGACATTTGATTATATTTGGTATATAAAACAACTATATTATTTTAAAACAAGCTCGCTATAAAAAAATAAGAGATGGTTTTTGGTGAGGTTAGAGAACGATAAATGGTTTTAATAGCCAAATTTAAATATTTATTTTTTGCTTTATATGAAAATAATCATTTCTTGCCTTTTTTTTTTTAAAATGTGAAAAGTAACTAATTTATTTTTAAAAAAAAAAACCGCATTTTAAATCACTGATTCTTGTTATCAATCACAGGTGTGATAATAACAACTGTTGGTTATACTGACGTCTACAACCAATAGGGGCTCTATTAAAGTCATCAACTAAAACTTAGTACTATAAATGATATAAAAAATTATTGAATATTTGAATTGACAAACCTCAATTTAGCTTTTTAATTTTTGTGATATAAAAAATTATTGAATATTTGAATGTTTGAATTGACAAACATTAA